TGCCAGTGGCATGTAAAAAATGCCTGGCAAAAAAATAAAAATAAAATTAAAGCTAATAATAATCATTTTAAAGCACAGGAACAAAATGAAAATAATAATATATTTAAACGATCAACAAAGCAAGTTACTCAAAAGACAGCACTAGATGAGCTTAGTATTATTATGCGAATTTGAGATGCTTCTCAAGTGCAAATTAAATTTGATAAATACCTTGCACGATGAACATCCTTTGGTGAAAAAGAGTAGACAGAATATATAAAAAATGAATATAGAGGTAACTATAAAAAGTGGGTTGATGCGTACCGTCAATATGAGCACCAAGAAATGAATACTACAAATTTTTTAGAATCTTGGCATAAAAAATTTAAGTATTCTTACTTGGATGCAAAGCAGAACTATAGGATAGATACTTTAATTTGGACATTGCATGCTGCTCTAAAAGATGCAGAATTCAAGTGTAATGCAGTTCGTTTAATGATAGGAAGAATGAAGCCTTGCCAGAAAGAACAAAGGCATCATGAAATTTCTGGATCAAATTTTGAGATCCTTAATCTACCTGGTAACTGTCATTATCTTATAAAATCCTTAACAGGTAATAATTATGAAGTTAGTTTAAAAGATTGTATACAAAAAAATAATAACATAAAGCCAGAACATCTTAAATATACATGTTCTGACTTTAAGTTTCATGGAATGGCATGCAAGCATATTTTTGCTGTATGCCATAAGTTCCACATGCCACCAATTCAACATACTACATTTATATCAAGCGAAAAAGAACCTGAAGAAAATCCTAATGTTACCTTTGACGATTGTGTTGAAACAATCCAAAAAGTTTGGAATCGGTATGATCCAAAATACCGAAATAAAATGACCAGTTCACATTTAGAATCAATTGTGGATGCAGGAATAAAGAGAAAATCTACTATCGATTTGTATGATGAATGTGAAATTCCTACCTCCGAGACGAAAGGGACATACTATTGTATTACAAAACAGAAACATTAATATCTATTTCATATATACTATAAATTAAACAAAAAAAAAGTGTATTTATTAATAATCTATTGTGATCAAATGATAAAAAAAAAAAAAATTGTTAAGTAAAATCAAAAGTAAAAAATAAAAACGAACTTGATAGAAATACCGAACTTGAAACATTTCTTGAAGTATATATTTAAATTAAATAAAATGCTTTTAGTTTTACCTTGAAACAACTAAGCGATTTAACAAGATACAGTAGTAAAAAAAAATCTAGCAATTCTATGTATAAAAATCATTTTTCTTGACGAAAACGTTCTAAGAACTTTGGAGATCGCATCATAAAATATTTTATTTGATGCGCAAATCTGATTGGTTAAGTAAGTATGTTGAAGTAGAAGTACAACGTGCATATCAAATTTGGATATAATCATCACAGAATCCAAATCGGGTGGGGAGCACATAGATGCACTTACCTTAATGCCATAAGCATTATACAAATTTTTATTGCATGTTTATGCTACAATTATTTGGTAAGTTTTTTTTTTGATAATTGTTATTTAGTTAAAATTTTGAAATTTTATTTAAGCACTTATAGCTTTAAATCATGACACTTTCAAAAAAGAAATGTAGAGAAATTATATCTGTGCGAAAGTTAGGCAAAGCATATAGACAAATTTCCAAACTTGTTGGTTGTAATTCCAAGACTGTCAGAAATATGCTTAACCGACTTGAAACCTCATCTCAAATATTACCGGATCATGAGGAAGACCACCAATCTTAGACGAATTAGCACAAGATCGTCTAACGCAGCTTGTCTTAAGTGATTAGCATATGACTAAAAAACAAATTCAAGCTGCATTGGAATAGCAAGAAAACAAAGTAATAATATTTTTAATTTGATTTTTTTTTAATTTATTTATTTATTTAATTTATTTATTTTTTTAATTTATTTATTTTTTTAATTTATTTATTTTTTTTAATTTATTTATTTTTTTTATTTGGTTCAATTTTTTTAAAAATTTTATGTTTTAGTTAATTTCTCAAAAAACTATTTGCCATAATCTTCGCAAAGCTAACCTGGTCTCACGTGTTACTCGCATAAAGCCTTTTATTATTAATAAAACTAAAAAAGAGTATAAAGATTGGGTAGAAAAGCATCTTAATTGGATGACCAAAGAGTGAAAAAATGTTCTCTGGTCAGATGAAAAGTATTTTACTTTAGTCTATTCCAATCCATATTAGCATGTATGGAGAAGGCCAGGCAAAGAATTTAATGATAAATGCCTTGTTCCAGAAAGAAATTATGATGTGGAAATGTTTTTTTTAGTGGGGTCTTGGCTCTTTTATCCATCTCCACAGCAGTATCACAAGTGCATCCTATCATAGGACACTTATTTGTTATGATATCTCTAAGCTTCAGAACCAATATCCCAACAATAATGGGATATTCTAACATGATGGTGCCTCGGTCCACAGAAGCAAACCTGTTAAAAAGTATCTAGCCAATAAATGTATTAAAACATTTAAATGGTTTCTGCATAGCCTGAACCTTAATTCTATTAAGAGCCTTTGGTCCAAGGTTGAAAATAAGCTTCGAAAACGTCACTCAAGACCTGGCAACCTTAATAAGCTTGAGAAGATAGTTAAGAAAGAATGGGAAGCATTATCCCAGAGTTATTATAGGCATCTTGTTGAAAGTAAGATAGATTATGTTAAAGTGGTATATGATAATGATTGTGGTTATTCACATTATTAATTTCTATATATAAGGATTATTTGCTTGCACAGTTAAATAAATAAATAAATAAAAAGTAAAAAAAAAATAAATAAATAAAAAGTGAAAGATAAAAAATAATAAAAAGTAAAAATAAATAAATAAATAAAAAATAAAAAAAGAGGTGTGGTGACTTAGTGTAGTGGTCTAGTCATCACCCTCTTCAAGTGGCAGATCTAGAGATGGACAACAATTTTTGAAAATTAGGCTTGTGTTCGGTTAACGGCTATGTTTATCGGTTGGATCTAATCTGTAACTTCAGTCACACCATCTAGTAATGGGAGCAATGGTGCAATAAATCTGAGGAATCAGTATAACTGAAAACCCATTTGGGAAGTCCCTAGTTAGGAGTAGCAGTGATCTACGATTAGTGTATAAAATCTATATGCACAATGTGCTCATGAGCACATGTTTTTAAAAGTTTTCACATGTTTTTAGCTAGAAATGTGCACGAAATTCACAAGATTTCTAGCCATATAGTGCACCAAATTTATTAATAAAATCTTAACTATGGCATATGGAGCACATTGGCACACAGTCTATTTTTATATATGCAAATTAAATAGATATTTATATAAAGTATTTTATAGTATTTTAAAATTTATAGTGCACCAATTTTTAAAATTATTCACATAAATTAAGTATACAATATGCACATTATGCACATGTTTTTGAGGTGAGATTTTATACACTGTCTACGATGGTATCACAAGAGGGCTAAATTCGAACCGGGGCCCGAGATCGGAGAACTGAGTGACCAGGTCCCAATGGTGGGGGACACACCAGCTGAACTGCCGGGTTATCATACCAGAGAAAAAGGACATACGCTCCAAAAGTATATACCAAGGAGAGGGCATCCTTCAGGCACCTAAAGCCTGGGCAGACCAACCTTTCCGAGTTGCTCGCTGGAAGTAAAGAAGGGACCAATAAAGAATCCGGATAAGAAGATGGTCTAAATGTGGGTACCAGGGTTGTTGTGAACCTATACAAGGGCAGAAGTAGGTAACAGATCTAATTAGAAAGGTTGTGGCTTGTCGAATTGGGTTGTGGCAGCACCCTTAGAAGTGGCTTGAGATACAAACTTGGTTACAGCAGCATAATTGGTACTATTTAGATAGGAGTTCAATGGCTAGCCCTAATCCCGAGTGCATAGGTCAAGCTGTGGTAGTAGGTTATAAAGCCTGGATAAATATATAAGTGGGACATGTACCCTAGCAAAAAGTTAGTTACTGGCTTCAATGTTGAGGTTCAGTATAGTTCCACAACAAAAGTGGTGTGGCTATTACATCTAGGGCTTAGTAAAGCAACCGGATGAGGTTAGATGTTTCAGTAATCATTAGTTCTACGGTACTAGCACCTGTTGTTTAGAAATAGTTCTCATACACTATTTGCCGACAGGCTTAAAGTTTATCACTTACCATTTATGTTAGTTAGCTAGCATCATTTGTACACATAAATTAATTATAAATACCTGGCAAAATACACCAAAATTTAAAAAAAATAAAATAAAATAAAAAAATAAAATAAAATAATAAATAAAAAAATAAAATAAATAATAAAGGTTAGTAGTCTCATGCTTATATGAATATGATTATTAATAGATATAGTTAATTATTCAAGATTTCATGAATGAGTTAGTTATTGGCTTTATACTTTTAGAGCTTTCATATAATGCAACAATTTTTATTACTTTTGAGTGAAGGTGAATTAGTAGTAACAAAAAGGATTCTCGGACCCATGTTTTCCAGGCAAAATATATCAAATAAAAACAAAATATTACACATAAGATTAAAAAATTACTCAGAAGTTATGGAACTAAGGATCATTTTTTGCCAATATGTTACTTTTAACTATGATTTGAAAATTACCTACTGATCCTTTTTATTAACTTGTTTCAATTTTACTTGTTTTAAAGTACAATTATGTATCCATTGAATAATTAATATTATTAATCAAAAAAACTTAAGATTGTGTAATGAATAATCCTTATTTTATTTATTACACTATGTATCAGTTTTTAAATTAGGTGGTTTATTAAAATTTTTGTTTATTCTAATGCTAAAAACTGAATAAATTATATTAGTTAAATGAATGAAATAAATCACTGATCGGATGGCTTGAAAATTAATGTAAAAAAAGATCGATTCGAATAATTTGTTTGTAATTGTTATTTCTATAAAAGTTAAAAGTTTATTTAAATATTTCTTCTTTCAAGTTAAAAGTTTATTTAAAT